ATAGATGAAGTGCACTAGCCGTTAGAGAAGTTGTGCACATAATGAGTGGTTATATGGAGTGAAGGGAAATTAAGAGAAAGTAGGGGAGTGAAGTGCCTCATGTAGTGGGGATAAAAATGGGGACCATTTAATTGGTCCATAACATAAGCCCCCAGCCTGATATTGGCGAAGCCGAATGTCAAGGTGAAAGTAAAGTCTCCATGTCTATCAAATAGAATTTAAAGTGTTTGTGAAAAAAAATATGAATGTCGAGAATATCCTGCTTATGGGTCCTTCTGGATTTCAGGTTGTTTTCGTTGCTTGTAGTCACTATTCAGATTTTATTTTCAATTTATTTTTACCCAGAATATGTTAAACCTCCTAACTTAGAGTAACGTAAATAAGTATTCCAAGGTGCAAATCATAACGATTTAATAAATCATTTTTATCTTGGAGGGTCAGTCTTCATTTAATAAATCATTTATATCACAGAGGGTTGGTCTTCATTTAATCAACCATTTTTATCTCGGAGGGCCGATCTTCATTTGACGACAAGGGACTTTGTTTTTTCGCTTCCGAGTAGGAACTGGATGAGTGCCCCAGAGGCCATGTCCTGGCGACAAGCGACTTTAGTTTTTCCGTTTTCGAGTGTGTTGAGTATCAAAGGTTTATTGAGTTCCGAAGACACGAAATGTTATATTCTTCTTGAAATTCATAATTTTTCATTAAAATTGTAGCGAAAATGTGGTCCTGTGTTATATGACATCATCAATTTTATTTTGCATTTGGTTGGGGACTGTTCGCTGACCTTATTTTATAGTTACTCAGTGACAAATAAATGATAATAATCCAACTATAAGTTTTTGTTGTAAAATGACCCATTTTCTCACAATGATATCCTCGAGACAGCGTCAAATGTTCAAGAATGAACATTAATATGTCGTAAAGGTGCTGAAGAATCCCCTTAATAGAAGGCTATATATAGATGAAATGCACTAGCCGTTAGAGAAGTTGTGCAAATAATAGGTGGTTATATGGAGTGGAGGAAAGTTAAGAGAAAGTAGGAGAGTGAAGTGCCTCATGTAGTGGGGATAAAAATGCGGATGATTTAATTGATCCATAACAAGTATGTATCATAAAAACAAAAAACAAAAATATATTCATTATCCAAATTTTAAGACCACTTCAATTTTTGGGAAAGTTGATTTATGATAATAATAGGTGGATTGATTTGTTTTAATTCACGGGTTTTACCTGTTGCACCTTTGGTCCAAACAGTAAATTGACCTTACTCCATCATCATAGCACCTTATACACAGGGCCATATATGTGATCATGACACATAATTCCATTGCATTATGAACTCAAATTATAATAAAGGTATCTACTTTTGCTTCTGAGGGAAACTACTTGATTCATCTTGTTCTTTGCAGTGATAATACTTCACTGACTCCTCTCTTGGTCCCCTCTGTCCTCACCCAGCCAAATATAAAAATGAAGAAAGAAAAAATAAAAAACGACAAATAAAGCACACAGAAATTCACACCATATAACATAGGATAAAATAATGTTTCAAATTCGTCACCTATTTATTTTTATTTTACCACCCTAAGATTGGTATAAAACTAAAAAGAAATATAAGGATAAAATTGAAAATAATTATAACATATGAAAAGGGTGGTAGAACATGACAGAGTATAATATGAGTTTTATTCTATATTTAATGTATTTTAAAAATAAAACAGAACACTCGCACGTGAAACGCTACCAAAAAGAAATTAATAGATGGTATTAAAAATACATGTATCAACCAAAAAAAAAAAATGTCATAATGTACAGTTAGTGATAAAAATATATATATATATTTCAACCTTTTTAATTTTTCCTTAAAACTTAATTTAGCAGTCATAATGTACAGTACAGTATTCAGTTTAACTACTTTAACCAATTGAAAGTAGTGATGGGGTCAAGTTTTTGTTTGAACTTACCCAACAAAAAAAAGCTTTGTCTGACATGACAGTTTAATGTCGAAACTAAACAAAAAGTACCTCTTTCCTTATTTGATATCGATGTAATTCTCCTTTTTTTTATACCTACGTTATCCCTTCCCTCAATTTTTTAAGGGATTGGGATAAGAATGAACGTTTTTTTTTTCTCTCATTTTACACACTTTAACGATTATATTTCTCACTTTCTCCATTTTATCTACCTTAAATGGTAATAAAATAATATGAATATTTTTCTCATTGAACGATAATAAAAAAAGTTGAGTACTACCTCCTTCATTTGTTTGTTTTTTATTTTATCTTATTCAATTATTTTCGCTTCCCTTCATGATATTTAAGAATGATAAATCAAGTCGATACAACATAATACTGACCAAATATACTCAACACTAACATATTATAAATTTGAAATCGGATTAAAACTTTCAATATGAACACAATCCGCTTATTTTGCAGATTAACACAATATGACGTGAATAATTTAGAAATTCAGTGTGTTATTTATTTGTAAGTTGACAGAATATGACACGATAAAAATAACTTATTAATCTAAAACATTATTACTCATTATACACATTTATACGACAGAGTAAAACAACTCCAAGAGTCTAATTGATATTGAAATTTTAGGCCGAAAGGAAAGGAAAAGTGGGAAGGAAATGATTGATCCCTTGTTTGGTATTACAATGAAGGGAATTGGACGGATACGATCTTCGTGAGCCTAGCGTATTTTACTTTACCTTTAGAAGGGAAAGGAAAAAATGGAATATAATAGGGGGAAAAAAGGAAGACAGAAGTGTTGGAGTTATTACTCCAATAGAAAAGAAAAGATGCTTCACTATTTTTTATTTGGTTTTATTAAATAAAAAAAATAGAAATGTAAGTTTATGTTTGATGGGTTATTACTCCACTTGTTTGATATCATCCAATATAAAAGAAAAGATGCTTCACTTTTGCTTGATATCACCTTTATTTCCCTTCCTAACTGCCCAAGTGGAAGAGGATGAAAAAATGGTAGGACCAGCGAAAATGTTTCTATCTACAAATTAAATATATGCCAAAGCATTACTCAATCAAGATAAAGATATATAATAAATATATAAATAGAAATAATATCATAATTAAAGTGATTTGTCTTAATGGTTATTATGCAATTGTGGTGTAACATATTGCGACAATTCTCAAAAATCAGTTCAATCAATAAATTGGTATTGGGTTAGTATCGATTGAACCTAGTTTATAATCGGTTCACCGATTCTTTACTGAGTTGCATGAATAACCGTTTAATCGACAGAATCGCGCCAATTGATAGTCTGGTTGTTGGTTCAACCGGTTGAATTGGATTTAATAACCTCACTGGAATCTCTTCCTTTGCTTTTCCTTCTATAGCATATACTAAACAAAGTCGCGTGGAAAGGTCTGAAATGTTCCTATGAGCCGCACATTATTTTTCTACTTTACTCATTTTATTTTATTTTTGCTAGTTTTACTCATTTTATTTTATTTTTTTATATAAATTAGCTCATTATATAAAGAGTAATAAAGTAATTTAATATTATTTATGAACATTTCTATTTTTTTTCATGATAAAACAAATAAGAGAAACAAATATATCCTTTCTTTTTCGTTAAATAATGATAGCTGATAAGATGAGTAATAACTTGTACACCTATGTCATTCTTTCATATATCTTCTTTTTCTTTTCCCTTTATAAACAAAGCCAAAAATTTGAATAATTAATTATAATAAATCTTAAATATTTATTTAAGACGTTAAAAAATATAATATTGATAAAGAGTTTAAATTTGATTATTCTTTAATCCAAACTTGCAATATTGTAAATTGGTAGCCCTCCACAAGAAGATTCACAAAATTATTTTCTGTGACTGTATTCTTTTGATATATTATATGTTGATCGACCACCGAATTAATTGATAAGAAAGGAATCTTAAACTTATAATTCAAAATTTATTTAATACTTATCATTTTTAAATAACTATGCAATTTAATAAAAATAATAATAAATACTTTCTTAGTGGTTTTCAAACGTGCAAGTACCCCGTTAAGAAATCTGTGAGTAAATAAATAGTTTGGACAATTTATTTTGTTCGTACCTTTCTAATTGTCTTTGTAACTAAAAAAATAAATCAAGTATTTACAAAAAAAAAGTAAAAAATAAAAATAAATAAATCAAGTAATCATTATTTTTTTCTAACTTGTACCTTAAAGATATCAATTAAGGAATATCTAATATACGTCTTCTATTAAATGTTTTATTTTTTCAATTTTAAATAAATTAAGGGAAAATTATTTACAATTTTAAAGGACATAAATTTTGTGTTATTTTAAATTAAATAATCATGTTTTGGTTCATATTTATTGATTTTTTATATTTTTTTCTTCTTCTTCAAAATAATCTCTTTTTCTTTTTCCTTTTAATCTTGTGGAGAAAAGAAAATATAGATCAACAAATTTATATCAAAACATAATTATTTTATTTAAAATTACACAAAATTATGTCATTTAAAATGATAAATGTAAATGACTTTAACTTTTAACATTTGTTACTTTTACTTCTTTTTTTAGAAATAGTTACTTTTACTTCTTAAGTAATATTTCTGAAGCCCTTTTAATTTTTTTTTATTGTTTTTTAACATGAAGAATGATTTGTTTATAAAAAAAATTTATAAATTTTTATAAATTACACTATGTACGAAAGAACATAGTATAATTTAATGTTCTCTCTAAAGAATATAGTATAGTTTATGAGAATTTATAAATATAAATCTTCCCTTTTAACATTAAGTAGATATTGACTGGAATAGCAATTCAATTTATTGCATGAAGATGGATTTAGTATTTACCTAGGACTGAGATAGGTATAGAAGAATACAGACATAGCCTACACTGCAGTTCTTGTCCATTTAGGTTGCATGAAGTGGCGCGTGCCGACAACGCCACGTGCCTATAATTAGCTTCCACCTATAGACACGTCCCCACTCTCTCCACTGCAATATTTTTTACAACCTTGTCTCTCTCGAACTAATAATTTGCCTGCGGATACAGACATTGATTCCTTTGAAGCAAACATGGCTGGTGGCAAATTCCTCACTCTTCTCCATGCTTCTTCACGATCTTCTTTGGTCAAACCCACTAGGCCATTCTTCTACAACCCCATTAAGGTATCATTCACTTAATCATTTTGTCTCTTGGTGTTTTTTTTTTTTTTTTTTTTTTTCATAATTTCTTTTTAATTTAAGTTAACTGTGTCCCTAGAACTCTATGACTATTTGTTTCTTTGATGTAGAATTACTAATTTAATTTCAGTAAGGTACTTGCTGTGAATTTTATTTTTTATTTTTTTGTCAGAATGATCAGGAGTAGGAAAATTAAATTAGAGAAAGCAAATGTGGATTTTTTATTTTTTATTTTTTATTTTTTTGTTTAGAATTTCACCTTGTCCTTGGTTGAAATTAAGTGTTAGATTTAAAGTATGGTTTTCTGCATGATCCTGTTCTTGGAAGTGGAAATTAAGGGTTGAGAATTGGATCAAAACCCACCACGAAAAAAGTGATTTTTTTTTTGCTTGTTGAATTTGAAAATGCAATCTCTACTCAAATGGGTTTGCTACAAGAGTAATCAAATTGTTAAATTTCATGTCATAACTAGTAACACTGAAACTGTTTACAGTGGTCACTGAGATACTGTAATTTATTAGTTATTCAATGAATGAAACATGCATATAATTAGAATTATGGTCAAGCAAACAAGGACAAACATGGGCGTTTGATGGAAGAGAGGGCACCTTCCACTGCTGAAGAATTCAAGAGAGTTGCAGAGGAGAAGGCCAAGGAATCCCAACAAGGGGTGGCAAGTCAAACTGCTGATAAGACATATGATGCTGCTGAAGAGGTTACTATAGGTAACTCAAAGGTTGAATCAGTTAAGAACAGGTACAAAGAGCATGAACCTGGGTCTGATTACCACAGGAGGGGTGAATAGGAACCAACTCTGAGTCATAGCTGTATATGCAGCCAGAATAAGTGTTGTCTTATTTTCCAAAAAATGCTTGTTTAATTGTCAGTGCTTTTGCAGCAGAAAGAGACCAAACAATTGAAAGCTTTATTAATTGTTTATTTATTAAAATCATGTCAACTCATTGCATCTTAAAAAAAGTATTATGTGTATGATTGTAACTCGTGAATATGCAACTCATTTGAAATTCTGGGTTTTGGTTGATTAAGAGAGACTTAATGAAGCATTAGGCTTTTATTTATAGATTTAATGCAATTTTTATAATATTTTTTAAAAACAAAGAACATTCTTGCATGCAGATGGTTTGTTACTTTTTTCCTTTTTATTTACTTATCCTAATTATTTTTTTGATGCGAGTCATTCTTAAATATTCAGTTATGGAACTAATCCTAAGTTGGGTTAAAGCTCTTCGTTATTGCCAAAAGTTGTATTCGGTGAAAATCAAACTTAGGTTGTCTGTGTTGTCAAGTAAGCTATTGCCGGTTGTGACTTTATTTATTCTTTAGATTACCATTAGTTTGGTTCGTTATGTGTGATATTTTGTATATAATTCATGAACAGTTGTACCACTGGCGCGCATTCATGTCTCAATAAAGCAACCAAACGCATCAATGGAATCTGTGCTTTGTATTTAATGTGGTTAACTTTTTCTTTTTGTTAAAACTTAGAAGGATGAGAATTTGTGGCCATTGAAGCACTTCTCTTTTCCTCATACTGGTATTTCCTAATGGTTGCTAGCTTTAGATGTGACTTTATTGTGAAAGAAGTGCCAGAGGGTCCCTCCATATTGAAGCTATGTTCTTATCCAATTCCTTTGCGGTTGAAGGGTATTATCCATTTTGAAATTGATTCAAAAAAGAACAACCAACCCCACATGACATATACAACACCAAGAGTAGTAAAGCAGTGGGCCATGACTACTCAGATTTGATTAAAAAACAAATCATGTTATTCACACTCATTATTTTTTATATAGATGGATATATGAGACTGAGTCATGACTATGCACATAAATAGAAAAGAACTTTGTTAAATAAACCATATTTGAGTAGGTCTATAGCAATTGAATTAGGCTGTAAAAGGAACACAAGGGGTTCTTAGTTTTGCTGGAGGGTCAACTACCTTATCTTTTATGGGTTGTTCTGTTTTTATGGGCAGAGAGGCCATGTCATGATAGTTCTGACTAAGGATCATATCCACAAATTTTAACATCGATGATATCAAAGTTTCAATAATGTAGAGTCTATTCAAATAAAGATTTATGTAGAGTCAAAGAAGCTTATCTTGCTACCCATGTAAGGTTAAAAGAAGATGAAAGATAATAATCAATTCAAGGAATTTGAGTACAATAAACTGTTAGCTGTTACTAAGAAAAGTATAAGGCAGATCACTATCAGCGGGAGAGGGGGGAAAAGAAACTTTTTAATCTACTAAGGCATGTTAGGATAGAGTTCAACTCGAGATATTTTCTAAGCAAGAAAAGTAAAAGAAAAACATATCTCAACACAAACATTATTGAAGATATATAGGAGAGTAGGTTGCAATTGGATATTTTCTTTTCAAGCATCTTAGTTTCACAAATATAAATATGATAAATATCAACATGGAAAAAGTGTGTGTCATTTTAAAAGATGTAAAATTACGTTATTTTAAGAGAGAGAGAAATAGATAAAGGAAGAGAGAGAGTTGACAAAAAAAAAATAAAGGTATGGGTTCTATCTCTTTGTGAGAGTGAAAGGATATAAATTGTGTCATTTAAAAGGATAAACATTTTTCCCTATTAACATATGCTAATAACTTTGTAAAAACCTTATAGGTTTCTTTAGATAACCTAAATATATAATATTTATCAAGAACTAACAAATATCTCGTGCATGGCGTGACTATTTTTAATTTAAGTAAATTTTAAAAAAAATATTTAAAATGACATGTACCATCTTCTAAAAAAGAATAAATTAAAATATTAAGTCATTTTTAAGTCAGTGTGCACTATAAAATCCAGCGACTGAAATTTATAAGAATAGAATAAACGTAATTTAAGAATTGTACAAATTAATTCAATAATATAAACAATCAAAATTTATAAAATAAAAATATAAAAGTAATTAGTAATTTAAAAAAAAATGTATAACACAAAATAGAAATTCTAAATAATGTCTCTTCTATATTAGAGAAGTTATAGTGACAACTTTTTTTTATCTTACAATCATTTTTTTACCGTTATATCAAAATCAAATTAACGACTCTTATTCTATATTAATTTATAACTATTAATTTGATTTTGATTTAATAATTACAAAAAATTATAAGACAAACGAGGATGTAGGCATAATTTCTCTCCTAATGGACATTCTGGCCGTTCCTGCCACCTAAAATTAGAGAATATCAATTATATTTATGAGCCTGTCCTTATCCAATCAATTACCTCTGTTTCCACTAGGCCCGTCTCTGTATTATTCAGAGGGACCACATCTTTCTTGAGTTCCAAATTAGTGCTCACAAGTTCAAAACTCCTTAATCTTAATCCCAAAAGATTTATATATGATAATTCTCTTTAATGATTTGGTAATAGGATTACATGGAAAATATTAAAATGAGAGGACAGTGAGTTATTCTTCTGAAAGGATCTCGAATTATATGTATATGAAGAGAGGAAGAAAAACTATTATTATTCCACCGTAACTTTTCTTGATGTCAATTTTATTAAGGCTACATATTACTATATTAGAGTTGAAAGCAATATGAGTCGCTCCCTTGTGTATGAAATAGAATGGGTAAACTTATATATCAAACATGGTAAACCTAAACACAACATTCAATATTATATCCACTAATAAACAGGCCTAATAATAATGCTGATCACTAGTTAGACTTGACAGAATAACATATATGATCTAATTATTTTGACATTTAGTTAATCAAAATTTTATAAACGGTCTACATCTTTGGCCTAATATATTTAATAAAATAGAATAAGCATATACGAGTGCTAGCTATTACAATGAGTTCATGATTTATTTATTGCTTTTAAATGTAAGAGAACCGTTTCAACCTTGTCCGTCTTCAGTGCACATTACATTATCAACGACTTGGTCCTTTGAATAAGCATTGTGGTATGCTTGACTTTGAAATCATCTTGGCGAAATGTACTCCTAAATATAAAGTCTAAGTTTGCAATTAAAATGAATAGAGGAGAAGATGAATGTGCACAGGCACATAAAAGAGATGAGATAGCACATGCTATGTGGTTTATCAGTCAAAACGACCTTACTACCAACATTTGACTAAAGTTTCTCCAACTCAAAGCAGATTTCAAAAGTAATCCCAAAGTAGAGCAGTCAAACGCAATGGTCAAACTAACGAGATCAGTCTCGTCAGCATGCTTGGCGAGACCGATTGCCATGTCAGCAGCCCACTGTCAACTTGGTTGACGTGTTCATTGGCACTCCTGTCAATCTATTTGACGTGTTCAATGAGAATCAAATCCTGTCAATTTATTTGACGGGTCTCGTTTCAATCCCATCAGGACATGTAACAGGTCTACCAATTATATCAGCACATGTGACGGGTCTCCTTTCCAGTCATCACTAATCCTATCACATTTGTTGACGACACTAGTCCACACAGGGGCAAATCTATTGGTGAAAACATGGTATGCGTGGAGCAAAGTCTCGTAACGAGTACAGACAACAGTAGTCTCGTTACTGATATTTACGGGAATAGTTTACACATACCAAATTGGGTATATATAGAGACACTCCGATATGAGAATGAGTTTAGTTTCTTAGAATTAATTTTGTATTTGATATTTCTCTCTGTATTCTCATTTACATCTCCGTGTTTCATTCATAATTTTTATTTACTATCATCATTCGCAATTTATATTTAATCTCGTTGTTTATTTCCCTATTTTAAGCCACAACTACCCTCTAATTTTGTGTGTTATTTGCATAAATATACTATGACAATGGATCAATTTCGTTCATTCATATATTATAATGGTTTTAAGGGGGGAAAAGAGCAATGTATATTGTCTGAGGCATGTCCATTGAAAATCTAAATGATAAGATCCGTCAGAAGTTGAAGTTGCAACGAAATTAGGTAATATCTTCAGTTACGGGTAGATTCCAATGTGGAAACTGCAAATATGCAGGTTTGAAATATCTGATGATGATAGATATTTTCCTTGGAACATTTGTCGGAAACTCTACGCCTTAATTTATTGAGTTATACGTGGATATTAAGACAACAGAGGAACTGTCAATACTGATTTGTCGGCTGGACCTTAACAGCCAGACACGTAATGTATCTCATTTGTACCCCAGCCCACACAATCAACCGTTGCACATGGAGAAGAAAGTCGCTATATGATAGATGTTGAACCTGACAATGAAGAGGAAGAGGAACCTGACACGTAACATGCTATGCAGCATAGCGAGTTTGACACGTGTCAGACACATAACATACCAAACTAACACGTGACATGCTATCCATCATAGCGAGTTTGACACACTATTAGCCACATAATGTTATACTATGCAATGACTTACATGACCATGAACCTCATGACATTTTGAAGAAAAAAAAGCAATCCGTGACATTCAGGTAATTTTAGTATGACATTTTGACCGTTGTCCCCCCAACTAGGTCAATCATCGGTCCAATCTTTATAACATTGCTTTTGAGTACACATATCATATGGACCCTCTCAAGCCACGAGTTGCCTTTGAAGTGATAATTATGTTTTGATTAAAAAAAAATACAAACTAAACCATCCTCAACTATAACTTCATTAGTTTTTTCATTTTAATTTTTTAATAATACTTAAAATTAATACAACCAAATTCTTAATGAACACTAACTTCACTTACATTATTGACGCAATACCACATCAACAAAATATAACACATCAGTTTCATAAGAAAACTGTGCAAATCTTACAACAAATTTTGAAAACACCTAAATCTCATCTCTACTTACCACCCCTTTCATTATATTCATCACTGAAGTTTACCAGTTACCTTTCACAAGCCAATGAGATGTTATAGTCACCGATGCCGGCATATTGACCAATGTAGATAAACTTCGAAAAACTATTATCGATGAGTGGATTTGGAAAATATTTACGATGAGTGTTGGAAAATACCCTAAAAGGTGTAGCTCCTCCAGTTTAATTCAAAAACAAAAACAAACTAGCCATAAGGACCAATCACATGAAAGGCAATTCAGCTTCAACGGTTTCATAGGCACTAGAAGCTGCAACAATGCATTTCACCCAACTGGCCCACATAACCCAATTGTTAAACCCCAATCTCATCCCTTTCACCCCTCTTTCCCAACAATGCATAAGTAGAATGGAAGAGCATGCCATCACAAGTCACGCTTTTGCCATGCCTAACGCAATTGGTTCACCTTAGGTGCTCCTTTTCCTCTCTTTTTTATGCTCTTATCTAACACTAACATGGTAAATATTTAAACACAAATCTTTGATAAAAAAAATTCAAATTTTATCTACATTTGTCAATGTGCCCAACGATGGCCCTGATAATATTATGAGACTCCTAATTCCTAGATCATCGAAACTAAAATTCACATGCTCATTCACATACATGTCTAAGTTTCATCCCTTTTAAGACTTGAGGACATAAGCTAAACACACAAAACATACTTCATAGTTAAGATAGATCATACTATTATGGGGGAAGCTACCACAAAAGATCAGCTTCCACATGTAGAAATGAGAATCCATTCAGTCATATGGACAAAGCACGCATTACGCCAACAAAGTCGAGCGGCAAAGACTGTCTAATAGTAGATAATAGAAGAAGTATCTCATGCATTAGGCTAGCACTAAAGTATAGCTAATTCTACTTATACTGAGGGAGAAAGGATGATCAAATTCTTCAGACAACAGCACCTCCTGTCTGATGAAGCATGGCATCTATTTCATCCCCATCCTCCATTTCCAACTGCAGTAGAAACATGGTCAATATTTACCAGAATATAACAGTGTGTTGAGATGAAAACATGAACAGATGTAGGCAAGCGCAAACCTCATCTGGAGTCTGCTCTGCTCGAAGGCGACGCCCATCAAACAGAAAAGCAATTGAGTTGAAATCCACTGACTGTCGGTCACAATAAGCATTCATAAGCTTTTTCAGCTGAGTGCTTCTCTTGATCCGGAAGAAAACCTCATTCCCATCCTACAACATCTGAATCCCTAATAAGCATATTAACTCTTATGTTAAATTTCATGTTTTCTATTTATGATGCTGACCAAGCCTAAAATATTATAATCATCTTTTTTCTCCTTTCTAAGCCAAACAAAATAGAGCTCATCTCCTACATTCAGATGGCAGACACAGAGAGGAATACAACGAATTTTGCAATGCACAAGTACACAACTATATCATGTTTCCTCAAGTCTGAAGGAAGAATTCAAAACTGTCACAATCATCCCTTTAAACATTTAATCCACACTATTGGAGATTAAAATATCAAAATAGAAATAGACGCTAACAAAACATTTTTGAAGCTTCTTTACCTAAATTAGTCCATCTATCCAAAGACATCAAGTTACTAGATGTTGTACAAACATTTCAAACACAAAATTAAAACAAATTCAATCTTAAAAGACCAAATATAAAAAAGAAATTTAAAACAAAAACGTCAACAACTTAAACCCAGAAGATAAAACATCAATTTCTGTTTCTCTTGATGATTAAAACAATATTTCTGCAGAGCAGTAATTTCATTATGAACATGCAAGAAAGGGTTTACCCTAAACCTTAAACCCAGAAGATAAAACATCAGTTTCTGTTTCTCTTGATGATTAAAAAAAATATTTCTGCAGAGCAGTAATTTCGTTATGAACATGCAAGAAAGGGTTTACCCGATCATAAAATTGAATTCTCAGCATAAAAAAAAAAAAAAAAAACACAACCAACAAAACAACCGTACACATATATTTTTAAAGGCGAGATCATCAGAGTTTAATTTTTAATTCAAACCCATGAATCCAAACCAAAAATAAGATTTGATCAAAGCCACCCCACAATCAAATTCAAATAAAAAAAAAATCAAGAGAACCCCCTCATCCTTCCGCACATGATCATACACCCAACAAAAGGATCTCAAATTCCGAAGAACCAGTAACCAGAGTTAAAAATTGAGGATCAAAGACATGCAAATTAAATGATCAAATAAAAGATGAAAACCCTAGAAATTCAAACAAAGGAACGAGCTAACCTGGCCTTTGACCTTGAGGTTGATGTGTGCGCCCTGATCGGTTGGCTTCTTGTCCTCCTCGTTGTTGGTAACACCCGACGCCATCTTCAAATTCTCCGATGAAATTCCAAGCAACTCTGCTTCTCTTCTGTCACTGCCGACAAATGCTATGTGTTGCGTAACTGTGAAGGGTCTCTTATATGATGGGGAATTGAACGGTTCAGATTCACTTGTCGCGGATGGTTGGGATGCGTTGTTATTGCTGGAAACCCTCCCAACTAAGGGTTGGTTTGGGCCCCGTAAGCCCAATGCTTCCTTGGATATGTGTATGTGACATCTAAAACAACATATTTTAATCTTTAGAAAAAAGAAATGAATTTGATGCATGTGTGTGGGAAAGTTTTCCCGCATATCTACGTTTTTACAAAGATATCAACAACGTTAATAATTAAAGGTAAATGTTTAACTATGTATTCTACTTACTTAAAATACAAAATATAATGAAGAAACATACATGTGTTGCAGTCATAAGATTTGGTAGACGCAGAACAAAATAAGTTGTTACTTAATGATCTATTTAAATTAGGGGTGTTCATCAACCGATTCAAATCGCAGTAACCAAACCGAAAAACCGAAAACCGAGTAAATCAAAAAATTGAAAACCGAAAAAAAATTGCAAATTTTAATTAGATTGGATCGATTTTCGGATTGGTAGATAAAAATCGATCTAATCCAAATCGATCCAATATATTAATTTTTCTCTCCCTACTTGGGTATTTCCTCCATCATAGTCCAAAAATTTTTAAACCCAAGACCCATTAACCCATCAACTAAACTCAAAAAAAAATCTAGTCACGTCTTATCAACAAAATTTTATATATGTAGAGCTTCATATCTTATTGTCCAAAAAAAAATCTATATTATCGTTTACGGATACTTTTGTATTTAAAAGAAATAAAATTACAACGCCAATATATACAAAAATGTTATTTGAGCCATAATCAAGAAACAAAATTTAGGATTTTCAAAAAATCGAAAACCAATCTAATCCAAACCGAAAAAAATTGGATTGGATCGGATCGGATTTGAAAAAAAGTCCAAACCGAATGGATAATTATGTAATCAAACCAAACGAATTGAATCAGATGATTTTTACTTCCAAAACTGATCTAATCCCTACCGCGAAGAACCCTAATTTAAATTATTAGTTTGTTAATGAGTTGTTAGTTGGCTAGTAGTGTATAACAGTAGAGTCGGCAAGTGTATCACTAGGACGTAACAGTAGGAGTTGTATTGTAAAAGTGGATGTAAAGTTCATGTATTAAATAACCTCTTGTTTCGCATTTCTTCCGTCTTTTTTTTTCTTAACATTGATGCTTTCATTCTTTCAAACACCACTGCCACCAATAGTGGCGGAGTCAGAAACCACCCTTCTACTTACGATTTATGAATTGTGAGTTCATTATATCCAGCCACTTCAAGAGGAAAGAAAAAGAACAGCATACTTATTCCTTGGGGGAGGGATTCCTTATTTACTAAAAAACAAGATGATAAAATTGCACATTTCTTCTACTATTTTTTATACAACGATTAAGTTCCAGGTTAATGTCAAACTGTAAATTACATTATCCTTGCTAGAAAGTGGAATTTATAAAAAAAAACACTCCAAATTCAAGATCAAGGATCATACAAAGTCACAATCATGCTCAACTTTTTCATAACTATCCATCCTAGAAACACATTAAAAATACTGCACTTGCTAACTTGCAAAATTTAGCAAGGGAACAAAGACTGGAAATTGGTCTGACCTGTTAAAACAAGTTCATTTGCACTAGTGAGAACCCCCTGGCCACATTGGAATAACTATATACACAAAAAATGTTCATTTGCACTGATTTTGCTGGTGATTTTTAAAGCCAATTCCTTAGGAACCAAGTGATTTGCCCCTGTTGAAGATAAAAAATCTAAAGGAATGCCATTCTTTGGCAAAATATATATGTTTAACCAATTAAAAAAAAAACAATTCCAAAATATTCAATTCCTAAATATAATACAAAAAAAGAGAAACAAATCGTACAAGTATTTATCTTAAAAAAAAGTTTAACATATACATTTTAAATATATATGAATAACCAATTTAAAAAATTTAAAAAAATTAAAAATATAAATTAAAAGCATTTTTCTTTTTTCTTTTTGATAGACAATTAAAAGCATTTTTCTTCTAAACCATAAAATGCTTTCTCACTGGGAATAGTAAACGTTAAAATTTAAAGATAGGGAAACATTATTGAATAAAAAAAATCAATATTTTATGTACAAGTATTTTTTTAAAAAAATAAACATAAATGCTTTAAGTATATATGTATAACGATATAAAAATTATAAATTAAAATAGAAAAAATAAATTTTCAAAAAATATGTATAATAAATACAAAATAGTTTAAATTTTAAATTTTAAAACAAAATAAAATCTATCATTTTATAGAAAAAAATTATAAAAACTTAACCACTGTCAAAATAAATGCTCGTTCAGTAACTAGTGACCATTCAACTCTTACATCATATACATATATTTGTCATTAAGTATTTTACATAAAATTTTAATGTTTTTCACTACTTTCTACACGAAAAATTGTTAAGCCTATTAGTAATATTTTTTTATAGATAGCCTATAAATAATATTTATTATTTTGTCCATGGGTTCGTTTTTTACTGAAGATAAGTTATCTACAGTAAGCTCAATACGATGTTGTTTTGGGAGTGAAAATCATGATATTTTTGTAATTTTAATTTATTTCAGAGTTATTATAGTCATTATAATTATAATTTTTTAATATTTCAATATCAAAACGACGTCATTTTGGGATAAATGCAGATAACTTATCTGCACTAAGTGTAGAAATATTTTTCTATTTGTCTATTAGGTGAGAAAATATTTAATAGGGTTAATTTAAACTTTTTGAATTTAAATTTTGAACTTTATAAGTGAGAAAATATTTCAGCATTTAATACTTTTACAGTGAAAAAGAGATATATAATAAATTTAAATTTAATATAAAATTATAGATTAAAGGAAAAATATTTAAAATTATAAAATATATATGTATATATATAGTTGATAAAAAACAATTGAAAATTAAATAAAAAATAAAAAGTGACATTTTTACTTTAAAAAAAATGAAAAATTTAACTTAAAAATAATACAAAATAACAAAAAAAATTGTTCAAGTATTTTTCTAAAAACAATTAGTATAAACATTTTAAATATATATGTCTAATCAATATACTAAAAAAAATTATATCAAAGATAAAAAAAAATAATTTTTCAAAAAAGTATGTATCCTTAATACAAAAGAATTTAAATTTTAAAATTAAATAATAAAAATGACATAAATTGTTCCATAGAAAAAATTATAAAAATTTAATCATTATAATAAAGAATAATCATTCAGTGACCTATGACCATCTAACTCATGTATCATAAAAAAGAAGTTTGTCATTAAGTATTTTGCAAATTATTTTAATATTTCTCACTACTTTTTGGATGATAAATTGTTAATTACATAAGTAATATTTTTTTTTGGTATTGTATAAATAATATTTATTACGTTGTCTCTTGGGTAGAAATATATTTAATATTTAAAATTTAAACTTTTCAAATTTGAATTTTGAATTTGTTAAGTACAAGAATAGTTCAGCATTTAATGTTTCTGTTATTAAAAACGATATATATAATAAATTTACATTTAATATAAAAACTCTAAATTAAAAAAAAAACTATTTAAATTTTAAAATATATGTATAGTTAATAAAAAATAATTTAAAATTAAAATTTAAAAGAAAAAATAAAAAATATTTTTTTTCATTCAAAGTCCACTACTTTCTGCGTCGCAAATTGTTAAGCCTAATAATAATATTTACTATTATATTTATTTGGTGAGAAAATATTTAATATTTAAAATTTAAAATTTTTTAATTTGAATTTTGAACTTTAAGGCTGAAAAAATAGTTCAGCATTTAATGTTTCTACGGTGGGAAAAAAGATATCTATAATAAATTTAAATTAATATTAATTATAGATTAAATGAAAAGAATTATTTAAAATTGTAAAAATATATGTATAGCTGATAAAAATAATGTAAATTTGAAATTTAAATGCAAAAAAATAAGAACTGATATATTTATACTTTAAAATTAATACATTATTTGAAATTTAAATGCAAAAAAATAAGAACTGATATATTTATACTTGAAAATAAATAAATTAAAATTTTAATTTAAAAAATAATACAAAAAGAGAACAATTTTTTCGTACAAGTATTTTCTTAAAAACATATTTAATATAAATGTTTTAAATATATATTAATAACCAATTCAAGAAATATGAAAATTATAAATAAGTATAACCAAAGAATTGAATATATATATATATATATATATATATATATATATATATATATATATATATACTTTTTTTTTTGGTAATCGAATATATGTATACTTAAAACCAAAGTAAAATTACACTTATAATTATATTTAATTTTTTAAATTATATGTGACTTTAAAATGTAAATAACTTATTATTTTTAAGGGTTCATTTTTTCTACGAAATAACTTATTTGCATTAAGCCCAAAACGACGTCGTTTTGGGGCAGAAATTAACGTATTTTTGTAATTTTAATTTATTTTAGGGTTATAATAGTCTTTATCATTATAATTTTTTAATCTTTCAACTGAGAACGATGTTGTTTTAGGAGTGAATGCATATAACTTATCTGCAATTATAGTAGAAATATTTTTCTGTACTTTTAAATATAAAAACCTATTATAAGCTAATATAAAATGTTGACAGTTAGATATGGTAAATTGGTCTCGACTAGGGGTGTTAACGGGCCGAGCCGAGCCGAGCTTTGGTCTTAAAAGGCTAAGCCTGTGATTAAATGTGTCGACATTACCAAGCCTGTTACCTTTACGAATATAATTATCGGCCTGTGGCCTGCCTTATTTACAAAAAAATAAAAGTCTGATTTGGCATGTTAGCCTGTTAGAAAAAAATAAGACAATAAAAATTTATCCAAACAGAATATACAATCAACAACACTAGTAATTTCATAAATATTCATAAATTCAATGTATATCGAAACAACATAATATAGAACAAAATCATTCAAAAAGTCTATT